GCATTTCTTAGGTGAGAGAAGGGCTGGGCAAGTAGACTTGGTGTGGGTTCTGAAGCATATGAAGCAGATGAGATTACATACCCCGGCGTTAAAGTCACTGCACACCTGAGCCTTGCCCAGAAATGTAATGGGACTGTCCGGCATGACACTCTGACCAGCACCCTGACTAGTGTGTGGGGTGGGAGGGTTGTGAGTCGTGGAAGTGACTGTCGTGCTAGTGAGCGTAGTTTGGGAGGTCAGCAGTAGGGCCATGGAGTTAACGTCATTACCCTTGGAAATGCCCTTTCTGATGAAGTCAGGGACAGGGTGAGCAGGGGAAACGTATGAAGTGGGTATGGTACCATCAGGGGAAGGTTTGCCAAGCCCAACAAGGAACCTGGTGTGGCTATAGCGGATTCCAGTTTTGCTAGTCTGTGATTGATCATTTAGAGGTTGGTGAGTATAGCAGCCAGGGTGTCTCATGTGGAATACAAAGTGTGAGCTGACAGGATTTGTGAACTACAGCCTGGCCTGGGAACGTTGGCATGAGTGGTCATGAGCCTATATAGTTCGGCCTTTCTGGCCGTTTGAAGGAAAGGGGATACCCCTGCTTCTGAGCTCCGCTGAGATTTTTGGAATGGTCCAGTATCTCAGGGACCTGTGGGTAAAAGGGGTGAGGGATTTCTCCGGAGACCCAGGCCTGATTGGCGCGCTGGCTATGTTGCCCGATGGTAGATTGGTGACCGGATTTTGTGACATCTGAAAGAGAATAATTTGAATAAGTATTGATTATATAGCTAAGGCCAGAACCCAACCCTAGGAGCCAGTTTTCTAAACTACTGGGACTCTTGCAGTGATGTATATGTACGTATGTAAATATTTAACCTTGAGTATAAGTCCTGTTTGTTCGGACAAAGCACAGGTAGACTTCGATATGGCTATAAATTAGCTTCTGCAGGAAACTGGCTCGATCCAGAACCTAAGGAAAAAGGAGATGCTAGTGGGCCTGAGGTGTTCCACCGATGTGCCAAGTGTGAAAATGTAGAACGTATGGGTAGGTGTGTTCCAGAGATACTGTAACGTAAGCAAGAGTAAGCTGATGGACCTGAACGTTGGTCCATAATAAGAGACAAGCCCCTGGGTACCCAGGGATGTGAATTTATGAATGATACGAAGGCAAAGTGAGGCCTTAATGAGAATGTAATCGTAATGAGAAAAATAAAATACCTGATACTGAATACTAGAGACCAGGTAGCCAGTTGGTTGTTGATAACGTAGTGGAACTGCGTAAAATGGTGTAAGTCTAAGTAATATTATGTAGAAACGATAAACAGGAAATGATACGTTAATACGATAGTAGCTCGGTTGAGCAGGTTTATGAGAGTAGTTGGTGTGTAGGTGGCGCTTTTAAACCTGGTGTGTATAAACGTTTAGAACCCACTTTGGGAGGTGGGGGTGAGGTTATGCAAGGCCGTGGAGGCTGAATGAGGCCTCAGGAGAAACGTAAAATTGGTAAAACCTTTTTTACCTCATACCGTGAAACTGGAACCTGGAAATCAGTTCTTGAAGCTTTCCCTTGAAGAAGAATAGATTAACCTAAAACATATGTATTCTAAGAATGATGACCCAGAAATAGTATATTTAAGGAACAGATTAGTCGTATGTATTACTGGTCTGAAATGAGCCTAGGAAACGGGGGGGAGGGGGGGGGTGGGGGAAAGATGGAAAGGGGGTTACTGCTGAGTTTCCCAGTGATATAAAAAGAGGTTAAAAGGCCAACTGTTCCTTTAAGAGGGTTACCCTTATGTGGAAACCGCAGAGTGCTGGGAATTAGTTCATAATTAAATGTAACGGTGGGTCTGGAAATGGTGCCACACGGCCTTTGATATATGCAGGGGGTAAAAACAGAGTATACACTTTAAATACAAAAAGGAAATAGGTATGTATAGTTTCATACTGGGGTATATACATAACATATAGGGAATACCTGCTTATCCGTTCCGCATTCGGATAAATGAACAAGAGAGGGATTTAACATATGAATCAACTGCAGTCTGTACGAGTAAATGAAAACGGCTGCATTAAAGCCGTTCGTAAGCGTGTTCGGCTGTATGGACGTGTGAAACAGCCGAACGTAGGGTAAGTATGAGCGATCGGATATATTAATATTTATACGAATGAAAAAAAAAGGTGAGTATGAACTTTTGCATTCGGCTGTTAGACGCACGAATGCAGAAGTAAACGAACGGCGTAAGGAACGAAATGGGTAAGTAATAATAATAATAATAATAGGGAGCCTATCCCCGTGTTTTTAGGCCCAAACGTGGGAAATAGCCAAACGCCATTTCCCACATTTGTGCTTACGTGTAGGTGTAGGTGACCTGAAGCCAGAAAACGAGTAATGAAGGCGGTTTAGAAGCCGGTGAAGGAGCCCGGAGGTCGGTGACAGGAGCTGTAAATGAGGGACTGGATACTCGAGGCAGGATTTGGCGGCAACCTCAAACGGAAGTGCAGGTAACTAAGGAGACAAACGGCTGGCAAGACAAAGGTAAGTAGGGGGGTAGGGTTTATATAGGATCATTACTCCTCCCACAAATTCAGGCCAAATGGCCTTCCAACATATATATATATATATATATATATATATATATTATTTTTTCACTGGAACCTGTCAATTGAGTCAACACTTGTTCTTCTAAGAAATATTTGTGCCTTGTAAGGTGATGAGTCAGCTTCACCAGACTCAATTATATGTGAGTGCTTCCATTCACCTAACTATTGCACTGGAATGACAGAGTTATGCTATGAAGCTTCATTTTATCTTACAGTAGTGAGTTGTATTAATTGAGACAGCATCCAAAGAAAAGATGGATTAGGACTATGAATATAAGTCCAAATACATCTCACAAGAGTCAATTGTAGTACATATTGGCTTTGCTCTTGTGAGTGTATAATAACCCATAACATATATTTCAGGATCTGTTACTCCTGCACTGTTATTTGTTTATTTTTTGTTTTATTTTTTACATCTATTTTTGTGAAAGTTCAACATTTAATGGATACACAGTAACACAGTTTACAGTGTGCTCCGCATTTTTTTTTTTACCTTTTTTGGGGTAATTTGTATTGGTAATGTTGTAGATCAGTGTTCCTCAATCCAGTACTCATGAATCACCAACAGACCAGGTTTTGTCAGTATCTCCATTGGAATAAAACAGGAAAATACATTAATCCTGGACTGTTGGTGGTGACTGAGGACTGGGTTGGGGAACACTGTTGTAGATATTTGGTATGTGAAAAAAGTGTGTAGAGCATCAGGCTTAGGTGCACATATAGCTATATTGTGCTGTTGTAAAAATGTTCAACCTCCACTCGAACCTTAAAGGGACATTTTGAATTCTCATATCACATTAAACATGTGGTTTTGGTCATTGGAGACCATGATCAACATTCTAGGATTTGTGGTGTTAACACTTACTACTTTTTATAATATTTTTGCCAATGATTAAGAGGCACTGGAGGCTATAACTGAAAGATAAAATAATGTAAACCTGGACTTTAAAAAATAGATAGTCTGATCATAATTTTTCATCACAAATCTATTTATTAAACGAAGATTATAACGAAGGTATGTGCCTCCAACTGGCTTCCTACATCTTGCTTGCTTGCATGGGTATAGAAAAATGCAAACAGAGTAGTGTGAGCAGTATAAGTAATAAATTCCACAATTTATTCTGCAAAACGTCCAATGTTTTGTCTATCTGTCAATCTGCATTGATTATCACCTCCAGCTAGTTTTGCAATGTATTTTATCATGCTTTTCATTCATATAATGAAACAGTTTGATCCCAAAAGTAATCGCAATGCTAAAATCTATAAACACTGACAATACCTCCAAATGTTGAACTAAATTTTGGTTTTGGATGGAGTTCTTTAGCTTGCTGCTGATTTTAATATATCTCCCTATATCTATATACAGAAAGGACCAAAATATTGACCTAAATTTCTTAACTAAAGTTCTCTTTTCTCTAAAAATGTTTGTCAATCTTAGTTTTAACAAAATTTCCAAAAGAAGAATATGAAAAAAAATCCATCATGTCAGCAACCCATGAAAAGGAATAATTAAAAAACAAAAACAAATAATGCATAAAATATATAAAAGAGATAATATAATATAGTTTTATTTTGACTTCTCTGTGGTTGGTATAAATATGTCTGAAGGGTATTTTTATTCTTACCTTGCTACTTATTATAGTACAATTTACTATATTAAAAATAGACTGTATTTGCTCCTTTTTATACAAAATATTTAAATCACATTTGAATTTTTGGGTGGTTTGTCACACAAGCTCCTCATTCTAGTGGTCACCATTTTATACATCAGTGCAGTCAGTAACTGTTGCAAATGTACTACGTTTGTCAGTCAAAGCATTTTTAGATTGTCTCCCCCCAACTTTATTCATTCACTAATCAGAGAATTTTGGATAACTGTCAAGAGAATTGCACATTTTAAGCTAAAATAGTTGAATTGTAAATGTTTTTTTAACCCAACTATTTTTACAATATGGCTCTTTTGTTCTTAACTTTGCAGTTCCCATGACAACTCTCAACAATTTTTCATTTAGTAAATAAATGTTTTTTTTTATATTGCCTAAATTCTGAACAGTTTCTTACGACATCAGTTAGCCTCCGAGTGCTATAAAATAAAGGCCTCAGAATAGGAGAATTCTAGAGAAACCTCCTTTATTGAAACATGTCCGGCCTGTTAGCAATGGAAGGATTTATTTTGCTGATTTGAGACACTTGGCAAAACACACATGAAATTATGTGTTGTTCCCTGACTGATGAATACAAAACTTTTGCAATTAGCTGCATACTGGCAAAGGTTAAACTACGCTAGTCTGAAAGAGCAGAGTTTGATAAATCGTAATCCCCACCACTTCCTCTAATTTTGTATTCCAGCTGTGGAGTGCACACCTGTGGAGACACTAAGACCTGCCAAGAACTGCACACTGAGGAGGTATACACACAAGCTGTTATTAAAGGAATATGTTTCTACAATAACAACTGAATGCAGATGTTTGAACCCACCATGTGTTATTTTTCAAGTTTACAGTTAACCACTTATTGCGTATTTTACATTTCTTGTAAATTTAGAGAAACCACCAAAGTACGATTTAATTACTATTTCTTCATTTAACAGTTCCTAAATTAGGGAGTGTTACAAAATATAGCAATTAATCATAGGTTGTGTTATAGACCAAGGGATATATTATATATAGCTACAAGGCATTTCTATACAAAATGCTGTGAAAGATTGTAATAGCTTAGAATCTAAAGCAATACTTTGAGTAGTGAAAAAATGTAGCAAGGGAGAAAATACAGTTAATAATTAGGACTTAAAAATGAAAGAGCATAAAAGACATATCAGATGTGACGAATCGGGTAATTTGTGAGATAGTTAGCAGTTAATTTGTGATTTCAACCAGATGGAACTGTTCCTGTCACTGAATACTTCCTGTCATTTAAGGATTTTGCTTAGAAAAGTTTGTGTTAGAGACAGAGAAAATGATAGTTTTAAGAGCTTTATTCACTAAAGTGGGAATTGTTGGGAATTCAAAGTGAAATTAAACTTTAAGCCCTAAATAATCCAACTGGAAATATTTTCCAAGTCACTCATACTTCCAATTTGGCTATTGTGGCCTTAAATTTAAAGTTAATTTTGAATTCCTGACAATCCTCACTTTAGTGCTGGGGTAGGCAACCTTCAGCACTCCGGACGTTGTGGATTACATTTCCCCTGACGTTTTGCCAGCATTACGGCTGTAAGAACAGAATGGTGGACGTATTCCACAACATCTGGAGTGCGAAGGTTGCCTGCCCCTGGTTTAGTGCTTCTTCTACGTAAGTCTGCAACATTTTTAAACACTACAACGTCCTTGCCAGTTCTGGTTTTATACATAATGAGAGAAAGACTAGGGCTAATGACTAGATGATATACAATGGCTGTGAAAGAGTTACATTTGACCATGCTTATTAAAAATTCCATGATTAAATTAAAATTCTGCTCTTATTACAGCTTGTGTGTCCGCTCATCTTTTTCCTTCAGACTCATTTACTGACCATTTACTGACCATTTACTGACCACTACTTAACCTAATTTTTCTTCATGGCATTAGTGCTGAAAAAAAAAATCTGTTAAAGCTTTAATAAAATAGCAAAATGAACACAACTATTAGCTGGTGTCTATGTCTGCTATCTGTCAAAGTTTGTTAAGCGTTCGGTGCCACTAACCTTCCAACACTATGGAAAATAATTTGAAAATCCAGTTTTGTGTTAAAAAAATCTGCTTATGATAGATAAATCATTCTATACCTCTGATAGCAGAGACGTACTTCCCCGCCCCCTTACAGCCCTCATTAGCAGTGGCTACTCAGCAAGAGTATCTCCGTTATTCTCCCTCCCTTGTTTAATTCAGATGTCTAGGTTGATCATAGCACACCTAGCAGTTTCGCCAAACATCAGTCGAGGCTTGATGATGGATGAAGACCAAGTACCCTTTTTTGTAACAAGTATTTACACAGTTTCAAATGTGTATAACCCTTCTGGGACTGATTCACAGACACCACTCTGTCTGGACTAAAAGTCAATCCCCCTGTGAATCCTCTCCAGGTGGGGCATGGGGAAACCCTAAACCCAACTTCCCCAACATAGAACTCCACAACCAATATATCCCCAGACAGCTAACCTCCTCAGCTACTTACTGTTTTTATTCCACATACAGAGTCCAATCACCACTGTTTGACCAAACTGGTGTACCATGCAGCTGGCTATAACTTCTTTGTCTCTCAATGGTAATTTGCATCATGGACGCTCGAGTAAACTGCATCCACTGAGTAAGAGAAAAAAAATTGTGGTGAGAATATTCATTTTTGGCACTTTTCAGGGTTCTCAGTGATGGAGACCATAGTCTATAAGGAAAAGGCTGACCTCCATGGCTCTCCACGAACTAGGAGAATAGAGATTTCTGTTACAGTGGCTGAGGGCATCAATGTGATTTTAATAAAGCCCATGATTTTATTATTATTGTTAAACTATATTCTTCAGTATTATTCATCTTTTCTATTAAATAACTTTTTAGGATTAGGGCTATGGTAAGCACCAGGGCACACGTGTGGCACTCTACCCATGATTGGTAGGAGTTACACCTGACAATGATGTTTAAACTGTCTCCTCAGCTTCTCTCTCACAATATCATTATAAGAATTGGGCTGACTAAACTATACTGCCCGTCTAAACTTGGGCTGACTGGCCCTACTCTGAGATTAGGGCCCCAATAATGTAAAAAATAATACACAGGTGACAACACCCACCCAGCAGTGTGAGAGTTGAAATCATAATCATAAGCCTACATTATACTTGCAATATGTTAAACAGCAGAAGGTTTAAATAATTGACAAGCAGCAATCACACAAAATTTCCTCTCATACAATTGTCAGACATATAAATCAATCTGTCAGTGATTACAAAATCATTAGAAAGAGGAATATATATGAGCAAAAAGTAAAGATCTCAATAAAAATTAACACTTTTATAAATTAACCTGTTTACACCCTCTGGCATTCAAGCTGACAACAGGTCCTGTTACTTCTTGAATTGGTTAGTTCAGCGGAACTAAATTCAGGAGGCAGCAATTGCTCAGAGTACCTGCCTTGTAAAGATTTCTCATTCAGCTGCATTGGGTAGTCTGTGATTGGACAGCCACAGAAAGTCTGGGCGGGGTTAGAAGGGGAGTGTTTGCAAATGCTGCAGACAAGAAAACTGTAGGTTCTGCAAGCTGTAAATATACCGCCAATGGAAAAAGTCATTATTAAATGAATGTATGTTTTCATTGTCTTATATCTACTATACAGTGATTTGTATTTATTTTGTATTTGGGCAGTGTTTCCCTTGAATTAGTAACGTTTCACCCTATGCTGCCTATGGTGTTGTGAAGCTAGAAAAGAAATAGTGCCTTGAGTTTAATTTTTTAAATATTTGAATTTTTCAGGATACAATGTGTTCTTATCACACATCAAGAAATGCACATATATATTGTTTTATTTTTCTACGGTTAGAAGAAAACCAACAGTGTGCTCTTCTGTTGAAACCACTGAGTCTCCAAGATTAAAGGGGAACGGTCACTTCTCTGGAATGTACACCACTGAATAGAGAATTTAACTTGCGTCAATCTTTTTTTCATTAGATTTGTCAGGACAAGGCAAATCTAGGGCAAACATTGGAAATAAGTAAGATTAAGGGGGAAAAATAGAAATAATGTTTCATTTCAGTTCTGTCTGTAAGCTTTCACTGTGCTGACTGACAGGGACAAAGGGCGGAGTTTGGAACAATGACTGACAGGGAGCTAATATGGAGATGTCCATTTGCAAGATAAAGATGTATACATTTCTACTTTTATCTCAATTTTTCACATCACATGAATACATATTTGTTAAATATGAGGACAAATAAATGTAGTACAAAAAAATCCAGTGAAATGATAGTTTCCCTTTAAGCCAACATATTCTAGTACACTGCATTGCATAATCGCCCAACAATTAAAAGGCTGATTATTAATAATTTTTTTCCCCTGAATTATTTGTATTATTCTTGGATAATCACAATTGAGGAAACTGGGAAAGAGTGACATTACCGACAGCAATACTATGTCTTATCAATTTGATTTGATTTTTTTTAAATGAACGGTGATAATTCACTTTAAGGTACATATGATACTCCAGTTGTTTGGAATGAATCTGTCTGCCTCCTTTAGCACAATTTCAGTACTGTGTCATATATCTAGACATAATGCACAAATATAGCCTTTAGTTAGCATTAAAGGCCTGGCATACTGAGGAACAAAGCCTTGCAACAGATGGTGACAGATCACGGGCTGGATAGCTGATCAGATTATGAAGACTTTTAGTAGTTAACTAAACTATTCCAGCTGCTGCTAAAGCAATGCTTGAAACTCTACTGAAATAGAAAATTGTATCTTTTTCCTCATCCTATTGATTGGTTTGTTTGAGATGCTGCCATACTGGATTGATAATCAATATCTTAACCACTGATACCTCATGGAAAACTAGTATTTAGTTTAGCAATAAATAAGCTACATGTGCGCAAAACTATAATACGAGATAAATAATTTTTTCAGTGAGAACGTTAGCACAGTCAGTGGGTGCATTAAATTGCAATTACGATCATCACAATAGGAAACACGCATGAAGAGCTTTTCTATTGCAAGTTCTAAAAGTGAAGAGATCATCAGGTGCATTACAGTGTTTTAAAGTGATGATTTATTCACTTCTAGAAATTTTCCCTCAATTTCTTTTTATAATGGTGTGTTTGAGACGCTTCGCTTTCCTGCATCCATTTTTGCTCTATGATACATATTTTCCAGATTCTATTTTTAGTGATGCTATTTCAAATTATGCAGTAAATAAAATGGATCTTTGTGTAACTTTGTGTCATGACGAATATATTATTATTTTATTATATCTATATCGCCATCAAATTCCATAACGCTGTACAATGGGTGGACTAACAGACACGTAATTGTAACCAGATTAGGAACAGAGGGGTTGAGGGCCCTGCTCTATGAGCTTACATGCTAGAGGGAGTGGGGTATATTAACACAAAGGGTAAAAGTAGGGGTAATGAAGTAGGTTGTTAGAAAATATTCACTGAGGGCTTAGTAGGTCATTTTTGACAGTTGCAGGTGAGGCGTCAGGGTGTGGGGATAAAAGCTGTTAACAGTTTAATTGATACGCTTTCCTGTAGAAGTACGTTTTCAATGATTTTTTGGAGGAATGTAGACTGGGTGAAAGTTTAACGGAGAAGGTAAGGGAGTTCACATATCTACATTAATCAACATCTTTTACGCCTTCAAACTGTAAGGTAAAAATGGATAAAAAAAAAAAAATCTCAATGAAATGAATTTTATTTCCTATTTGTAAAACTACATCATGTGGAAACGTTAATATGTATGCAGGATATTGTGCAAGACATCGTAGGCTGATTCATTAAACCTGCAAATAGAAATTGTGATGTCATCATTAATTGCTGGAATCATTTTATTCAAATACATCTTTTTTACATTGCAAACTCTTTTACACTTACAAATTCTCTACACAAACAACCCATGTAATGTTCATCATATAGGCAGCTTTGTGGAAAAACCTAAAGAACTATTATTTTTTTCTAGCTAAGAATATGCAGTGGGTATACAACACAGAGCATCC